TTCGCATTCGCGGCGTAATGTAAACGGGCCTTAATACGTATTGTTTAAAATAAAAAATAACGTGACAACAGCTAATAACACGTTATGGATATAAACATTATTTATTTTTAGTAAAAATACCGTATTATACATATATAAATTATAATACACGTATTTTACATGTATTATACAACCGAATAATAAAATACTGTATTTTTATATCTCCGAGTCTATAGAGAATATGTGTACTCTATAGGGAAGGTTCTTGGTTTTTACTTATTACTCAGTATCTATCTACACGATTCTTAATGTTTTACACCCAAGCCTATAAGCCTAGTACATTTTTGTTATTTTAAAATTAAAATAAAAAAATATTTAAATTAAATATAAGTTTAATATCTATTATATAATATATTATTTATTGTTATATTATTATTATAATTATAATATAATAATGTAATAATTCAACAGTAAAAGCTAGCGCGTCGTTCAAAGACGTAAGACGTGACTCTTGTGACTTGTGACACACCGTATCGAGTTTACGTTATGATACACCCTATAAATGCAGCGCCGCCGCCGACCGTGGGTGTTGCCTATCGGCTGCGATGCGCGGAATCGAACGCGTTTCGGTCGAGCAACGGGTTACTTCTCTCATGGCGCAGAGTATAGGTGTTGCTGACCATCCTGATCCATTGACGCGGCCCCCTCAACCTATTACACAGGTTGGGCCCGCGCTGTACCTCTTCTGTCACCCGTCGACACATTGAGCGACACTCGGTTGTGAACTTATTCTCCCACCGTCCAATTGGAGAGTGCAAAGTCCACACCGGGGAAAACGGCCGCGGCCGGCCGCTTTTAAGCTTTCCGTTCGTTCGCTCTCTCCGCTCTCCGCTCCCCGTCGTCAACGCGAACGCACCTAGCTGCCACCGCCTATTTTGCACGACCCGAGCGTCAAACGTTTACTGGTTTTTTTTTGTTATTTTTCCTTTTCAAAAATATAACTTGTTTTTTTTTAGTGTCAAAATAAACGCGCCCTGCCCCCTTATTTCGAACACGCAACCACTTGTGTATTTATTTATTTATTTTTTTTATTTTTCCACCGTCCTCCACCTTCTCGCGGAACGCCGACCGTCACATCGTCGCGCCCATTCCGCCCAGTAGCGGGACGCCGACCCTCCCCAGTGTCGCGTCACCATATACAATATAAGTTTTGCTATGCCTATGCCCATGGGCAAAACTTAATTTAAAAATATCACTGTTTTATAAAAAAAACACTCCAATTAGAAATATAGGATCAAATTAATTTTGCCATAGCATAATCAGTATGGAATATGTGACACGAAAAACGGAATGATAATAATAATAACGAGGAGGAGGAGTAGCAGAATGGGTAAGGCGGAGGTGTGTTTGTACTCACTGTCGCCGCACCGCGCTGGTTCGCACTCAGTTACAGGCGCGCTCCGTTTGCCGGGCGAGAAATCGATTGGTGAAAAGGAACCGCCACCCCCCTCTCCAGCGACGAGCTCACGACCCGTCCCGGACAGCGAATCCGTCTAGAAACCATTATCTCACGATGGCATTATCTCACGTTGGGCCTTATAAGCCCGTTAAGCTTGATGATGATGACGATTAATAATAATAATAATAGTAATATAACGATAAACATAAAATAATATGATAATTGTCGTAGCAATAAACTAATTAATAAAAATACAATAAAAAAAAAAAAATTATGATTTTGGAGGAGAAATATGGAGGGAGTATGTGACACGGCTCGTGATACATATTATACTAATAGGACGCCGCGCACAGCAGCGTACTTTAGTTATGTGCCGCGGGCCGCGACTCCTTACCGCCATCATCCGTTCGGTAGATACGAACTGACCGGCTGACCACCAGCCCTATCAGCTCTATCTAGGGTGCTAAGTCCAGTTTGGACACCGAACACCAAGCATTGGGTCCATCTGTACATAAGGGGAAATATGAACTCTAGACTGTTCGTAGCAGCAAAATAACTCTCTCAGGAAGATAGATAGCTAATAGCTTTTTACAAAATGTCGAAAGAATCTTATCTGGAATTGGCAAGAATTCGTTCTTTCATAGAGAAGATGGACACAAATATGAGGGAATGTGTGTGGTTGAAAAATATATTGTGTTTCCGCCGCAACCCCGAGTTGAACTTATTTATTTAACCCCAACCCGTGAGTTACGCCGACAGTACGACCGCATCATATGGAGAAGTATTGTGGAGGGATTATGGAATAATAATTGAATAATTATTGAGTAAATCTCACCGCGCATTGTAATATTTAACGGCAAGCGCTATAATGGAGTGTATAGGTCCCGCACTTGCACGCGTACACACTACAGAACGTATTTACGTACGGGTGCGGTGCGGGACCTATACACTCCATTATAGCGCGCGCCGTTAAATATTACAACACGCAGTGAGATTTACTCAATTAATTATTCAATTCACAGAAAAAAACATAGAATCATATATTTTTAAAACTTTGTCAGCTACATTTTTGAATAGAGCTATTTTTGCCGTAAAATTAATGTTTTTGATGATAATTAAGAAAAACTGTAAAATTGTACTTAAAAACAAAATGGCAGACACTTCTGGTCTTCGGAGGGGTGGCGAATTTTTTTTGGTCAATCAGGAGATCATAAAGAAAATGTCTGCCAAGTTTCAAAACTTTCCAATTTTTTTCCAGATAAAAACCTTCATTGACTGGACTACAGGTGTTGTTGCTTAACAACTACTTTTAAGTTCATAAAAACGATCTGCGCGACCATAATTTTATCTAAATAAGTATTAGTGTAATATCCTCTTAAGATTAAAAGAATTGTTAAAAGAATGAGAAAAGTACTTAAATGTGCTTTTAATGTCATCATAATATCAATGCATTTTTTTAAAACTAGTACACCAAATTCAGATTCTTCCAGTGTTTATTTATAATGGAAAACTTCATTTCATGGTTGGATGTTTCCACGCCAGTGCATTTACTATAATAACAATAATGATAATAACATTGCTGAATAACAGCCGGGCGAAGCGTTAATAATATGTTACAAAAAAATGTTTGAACTCTTTGAAGGTAGATACCACGTTAAAATGTAATTAATTAATTTTTGTTAGTATTTATTAATTGATAAATAAATTGTTGAACGTTATGTACACGTACATAAAGCCTGAGCTTATTTACGTCATTAAAGAGTAAGCGAGGACCGAGGTACATAAAGTAAAAATCAATACCATCCCAGGCTCCACTGTTCTCATCCAGTCCTGCTGTGCACCAGTGACCCCCGTTCGACGTCGGCTGTCGTCGCTTGGCGTCGCCTGGCGTACAGGGTACAGGGCGTACGGGCCGCCATCGCCAAAGTATATTGATTCAAACGAAGTTAGTCGGTCGGGCATACTTGACGTTAAACCCTCCTTCCAGGTTAGCGATTATTTGGAGAAAAATTGTTTTTTGACGTTAGCAAGCAGTTTGAAAAATGTCTGGAGTAAAGAAAACGATTCGAAAATTTTCTTTGCTATGTTTTCAAAAATGTCTAGGCGGGCTCCAGTTGTTTACGATGTACACGCACGCAGTTTGCCATGCTACAATGAGAAGGTACGTACTAGCAGCGTTACTAATTGTCAAAAATTAAAACCCTCTAATTTTTTTTTTTTACCTTAAGAGGACGCCACACTGCACATTTTTAAGTTGTAAAGTATAAGCAATTTTTACAAAATCTTAACTTTAAAGTTAAACTGTGATGTGTAACTATGAGTTCAGTAGTTAGGACTCTTTTTTAGTAGTTAAATTATTTTTCGGACTATCACGGCATCCTTGACAGCGATTTTTAAAAAAAATGTCTGTTAAGTTAAGTTTTACGCTGATTAATTTTTCTCAGGCTTCATGTATAGTTAAGGAAAAAAATTCATACATATTATTTATGACAAAATTATCTGTGTTCCATCTTCGTATTTTTTCGATATACCTAATACAACCAACGCTATATCATTTTTAAAAAGTCCTCTCTTAATTAATTAATTATTCATTAACTGGTTGAAATATTTAAAAAAGGGCGATGGTAGAATACTGTAGACATTATTGTTGTCTATATTATGTGAAAATTTGGTTTCTTAGTTTTGATTACAGCCTATGTAAAATTAAACTTTTGGTTTTTTGAAGAAAATAACAGATGTGTGGCGCCCTCTTAATAATATATCTATTATAAGCTCATGGTATAAAATCATATTAAAATTGCTTGATTTATACATTGCAAGGAACGAAAATATGGGACTACAATATGAAAACTGCTACATAAAAACCATCAAAGAAGTAATTCGTATCAGACATATTATATTATATTTTTAATCAAAACTTGTACTTAAATGTTTTAATTTTAATAGACTGAAGAATTCATAGCATTTTCACATAAGATCTGCCCTATCCGTACCGGGATCGACTTTAACAGCACAATGCTGTGCTCAAAATTTACGGGTAACTAATGAAATATCATTGAAAATTATTATACATTATTTATAAATTGTTACTTGTCCCTAGGCCTTGGTTTGGAACTTAGTATGAAAAATATGATCATTCAGGATGAAGGTAACCCGTACAGTTGGCCTATAATAATTATTTATTAAAAAACAGAGTTACATTTTTAAAACAATTTTCTTAAGACCAGTGAATCAATGTTGTTAAGACTATTACTTATTTATTCATGAACAAAAGTTATATTTATAAAATATTCGCAGTTTACAAATTGTAATTGTTATTTTATTTTTGATTACAGCTGAAGCATCATATTGGGCCAATACAATGACAAATAATGGATTTGTTCTGAAACTGAACTCAAGAATGTTATGTGTAATAAAACATGATTCACCTCGAAAATTTCATGTAAACTGAATATTTTGTATTATATAATAATATTGTTGTTCTAGAAAAAATATCACGATATTGTGTTGCTTTTTTCTTTATAACTAAATATGTTTAATTAAGTATAACTGTTTACAGACCATGTATTTTTGGCCAACCTTACAGGATTCCGATGACATAGATTATGGTAAATACAACTAATTAATTAATATAATTATAATGTTATAAGTAAAATATATTTTTTCTTTGTTTTATAGCTGTATTTCTGTACAAAAGATCCATAATACAGAATACACATTCTTATTTATTGTTTTCTGAATACGAAGCTGACGTTTTAGAACAACTGAAGAGTGAGTTAGCAGAAAAATGGCAAGTTATAACCGACCAAGCTTTAGATGCAATAAAGATGGAAAATGAGCTTCAACCTAGGATGAAGTTTACAATATCAGCACAGGAAAGAGCATTCTGGAATTATTATAGACCAATGGTAAATAGGGCACAAGAGAGTATTACGATCATATATTACGTGTAATAATTATAAATTTTTTGTAGCCCGGTGCTGAACCTATAATTGTACATGACGAGAACAAGTATTACAATGATTGCGAACGTTTCTTTACAATGATGAGCCAAACTGGGGGAATTTGTATGCTCTCAAATACTAAGTGAGAATTTCATATTATACGCGACAATTTTTTTCTTTATTATGTATTATACATGACGAATAACTCTCTCTCTGTCTCTCTTCGTTTATGTATAATATACATATACAAAGGATAAATTTAACGTAATACACTCATTTTTTCAAAAATTAATAACAATTATTTTTATGTTTTTCTTTTTGAAAACATTTGTATTCATGTTATTTTATAATTTTATAAGACTACTAAGTATTTACCTTTTTTACTATTTTCCAGAGCTCTGTCAACTTTTAAATTTAAAATAATAACGTATATATGTAACTTTATAATAAAAATTACAATTTATACTAGTTTACTGAAAATATGGACTAGCCAATAACCAATTTTGAATAATTACTTTTAAACTTAAAACGTATATTAAACGTTTTATTTTTTTCAGAAATGACCTACCAGAAAATGCACCAGAGAATGCACCAGAGAATACACCAGAGAATGCACCAGAGAATGTACCAGAGAATGCACCAGAGAATCCACCAGAGAATCCACCAGAGAATACTAATGCATTGGATAATCACCCTAAGTACATGAAAATTGCAGAACATTTTGTAAATTATAATGGTGACATTCAAATTGTCTAAAAAACTTTAAAAGTTTAGTAGTAAAATTAGTAGAAATTTAAACTTTAACTATTCTGCTTGTTAGTCTAGACTAGCTTATTTAATAATATTTTTCTGGGCTCAAATGATTTGTTGTCTAATCATTTTTTAAATAAATATCTACAGTCGAATCTCAATAACTTAATGTTAAAGACTTTTAAAATTTTCTGCCTAGGAATCTATTTATATATACCTATCTACCAGATGTTTAACTATCTACATCTTTTGGTTATGATAACTACCATTTTTAAGGCCCAATTAAGTTTTCCCGTCATTTCGGTTTGTATCTTTGAACAAGTTATCGTTATTTATTTGCAATTTCCAGTCAAGGCAAAAATTACATGAATACAAATTTAGGGAAACGAAAAAACTAGGCGTTAGGAAAATTTTAAGTTATAAAATATTAGGTTATCAAGACTCGACTGTACCTTGAAGTTCTTACGATTTTAATGAAAACATAGAAAACATGTTACTTTTGTTCTGTACGTAAATATAAATTATTACAATGTTAAAAGTAAATACGCACCATATGAGAATAAAAATATTACCTTTTTATTGTTGTCAACAACATTTTTTTTTCGTTATTGTATGACGCTCAGTAATTAAAAAATACAAAAGTAAGCATTTAAAGCGGCCCCTCAACCTTGTTAATTAACAAAATAAATATGTGTGGTTAATATAGCTAAGCTAGAGCCGGTACAAGCCTGTAATACATATATTGACGAAAATATTTTATTGTTCACCTCTCAAATTACACAACTTTATATAATTAATGGACTAGTAACTATAATTATAGAAATTAGAATCGTTTTTAAGTCTGTATTCAATAGTAGATTTATAAAAATGTAATCTCTTTTAAAATAATAGTAGTACATATTAAACTATGTGTTTTGTTAGAGTACATATAAATAGATTTAAACAGCTTTTTTAATAACAAATATACTATAATTATTTACTATAACTATTATATTCTCTACTTAAAAATGAGTAGTTATTATTTAGATAATACTTACTTACTATAACTAACAATTTTAATTAATTATTATATATTATTATATTTAAATATACTGGAACTATAGTGTGTCGCTAAACATATTTCTCTTCATATATTTTATACCTTGTATAGCACTAAAATCCTAACCGATGGCATAGAGCTTTTACCTAGCATACTACGCCTAATATATTATTGCTTAACGACATTGACATAAAATATAACTATATAATATAATTTTATTATACTACTAATTAAATCGGCCATTTCAAAAGCGACATTGAAATTTTACACTGGCCACAAAAATGTTTTAACTTCATAACTAGTTTTTGGAGTGATTATAATTTCTTGTACTCAACATTGTATTAAATATGAGTCTGACAAATTTAGTTTTCACACAGGATAAGTAACTAAGTATATTATTATCAAATTTGACAATAAGTAATTTTTGAAAAATCGGTGACCTATGTCGTTTTTGAAATTACCGATTTAATTAGATATCAATGTGAATTGTGAAATGTAAATTTGTCGAATGTCATTTTTATCAATAATTATATTAATATAGTATACGAGTATTGAGCCAAGGACTGACAATATAAGATAAATCTTTTATTACCAAAAAGAGACGACTCGCTGATATATTTTTCAACTTAAAGTACTTAGTAAAATTGTAGTTATCAAACGGCCTTTCATATAAAAAAACACAACTTATAGAAATCAAGAGCTAAATGAATTTACTTCTACAAAACAATAGTAACTTTTCAATAAAAATGTTTAAACCTTTCAAATATTCTTGACTTGTCGCTGTAATTAACTATTTTAAATTATAATTTTAAAAAATTCAATTACAATTTTATGTCACCCCAAAAGTGGGTTGCTGATTTTTTTTGGTGCAATGATAGTTGAGCCGGCTGAGTGCTAACACATAGCACAATCGCCACTCTCTAACCACCCTTGTAGTGGTTATACACAACAAAGAGAAACAGCTAATATCTTGATAGCGTAAATATGTTTGCAAAATATAATTTTAAGTCTTCTACAAATTATTAAAAGTGAATATAAAATTAGTTCACATTATGAAACAACAACAATAGTAAAGCAATATAATTTTTAAAAAGCTGTTCTACCAGCTTAGAAAAACTAGCACAGTTATTTTTAAAAATTGTAGCGTAGATAGACAAAACTTAGGAGGATGATGTAAACAAAAATAACTCTTAATAGAACTTGATTACGCAAAACGATTTTTATTTGATCCGTATTGTATTTAATACAACAAAAAAAAACACCTGTATAAAATCAAAAGAAGTTGACTTTTCAGAGAGTATATCATTTGGTTTTTTAATGTATAGTTTCTAAAATATTATTTCTATAAAATAAATATTTTTAACAATACATTTTTTTAAATACTAGCTAAATACTGATTGTATTGAAAACCATATTATTTATAACTCCTACAAAATGTTATTAGCTTTCAGTATCCTTGTAGGTTTTGTTTTATCCGAAGCCATCGTGAACCAAATAAACCGCAATCTGTGAGCTGTTTTGTTAAAAAATAATAAAAAACGTTGTTCATTTTTTTTTATAATTAACTGTCTATGTAAAGGCTTCATAAAAAAACCAACTGGCAATAATAGGTCTAATAGGTCTTTAGGTACTATACTAATAAAATTAAAAAATACATAGCTATACAATAAGACTTTTCGAAGTGTACATGTATATTATGTATTGACATTGAATTATATTATTGTTCTGAGTTGTTATTGAACTTCATCATATACCTAACTTATAAGTAACTTTTGAGTTGTGTTAATCTTGCTACAGACCAGGCCTATGCAACAAATTATCCTGGCCAGCCTGTCAGTAGACAATAATACAACGCCATCTAGAGCTGGTTACTGCCATATCGACATCTTTAAATATATTTAAATATCAACCACCAGATAGCAGTACATAATATCATGTACATCTGGTTTGAGAGTCGATCAATAAGCACATTGCCTTTTCTTTCTCGAGTAATCAGACTTATTGAGAGGACTTTTACATCCCTTATTAATTATTAATTACGGTTTGGCATAAGAAATTTTTTCTGCGGGTCTTAATTTAAAGTAGTATTTTACTACAAAAATGTGACTTTCTTAAAAATTGTCAATTATTTTATGGATAGGTATCAAACGACTTTGAAGCTTCTATACAAGGCTGATTTGACAATGGCCGACTTGTTTCCGTTTCTGCATTGAAAATATGACTTAATGTACTTAATTGGCTGAACCGATTTATTGGGTCCAGTTTTATTCTAATATAATAAACCGGAGAATACATTCAAAGAAACCCACAGACATTCCCTTCGAAATATCATATTTTATAACAGCGATGGCTTGGTTTAGAACCGATGTGGAACGAACAAAAGTAAATCATATTTTACACTCCATAGTCGTGTTTTCCGTGAGAAAATACAACGGCAAACGACTGCCAACAAAGTCAGATTCAGTGGGGACATGTAAAATAGCGACGTACACGATCAGGGTCCCATGAGCCTTTACTGTTGGCGGGTAGAATAGCAATAAAAGCACCGCGATGCGCGGGTCGACCCGGGTTGATATGCGCGAAGGGATTTCGCGTACCAGGGTCTCAGCATGTTCAATTCGTACTAGCCGTTTCCCGTTACCCCACTTATTTCCAACACTCATAAAATTATTTTAAATATTACATAGGTATATTATTTATGTCATCGATACTACTTAGGTTCATAAATCGTAGGCGAATACGTGGAGTTAAGACAAATTAAACTAAACAACGAATAGAAACTAAAACCAAACGAATATTTAAATATTTTACTTTGTATAAATTACAAATATCATAATCCGAATGGAAACAGCGCATTTTTATTACCTAATACGTCGTTATTAGATTTTTGTTTAATTTATAAAAATTTGTTATGCGCAGGGTAAAATTTTAAACTTGACGGGATAATATTTAGAGGTGACTCATAGCTATTTTGTCGATTTAATTGAAACGTACGAAGATCTTTTAGCATATGTGTGGGCAGAGTTGGGCATTATTTGAATAATTTTTTATCTAGATAATTATCTAAATAATTTTGTTTATTCGAATGACCATCCAATAGTTTTGTTTATTCTAATGACCGACAAATAATATTTTTATTTGAGTGACCGTCGAATTGGAAGCGGATTTTAAAATTTTTTTATGTAAAAAATTGTGTTTTAGTATCGAGAAAATTGTAAATTTTGTTTATTTGATTACAAGAAACTATTATTTTTAAATGAACATCGTCTTCCTACCTAACATAATTAAGTCACATATTATATTATATATTATTTTTATAGTATTTAACTAGTATCTAACTTAAATAGTTAAGCATTTTAGCCAAGCGAGAGACCTCTTCTGGTGAGAGTAAATAAATCATCTTAGATTTTTGTCGAATACAAAATTATTCGATTAAACCATCTTAGATTTTGTCGAATAAAAAAAAATTATCCTAATAAATAATTTTAAATTTTGTCGAATAAAAAAATTATTCGAATACATTGTTTGTTATTTGTTATTCGAATAAAAAGTGCCCAACTCTATGTGTGGGTAATTGGGGCAATACATTATTATATACAGACGATCAACCGTATCCATCGTAATACCAAAAATACATTTTATAACACATTATTGTGATTACGTACAATAAATTACAATGCTTTTATCGATATTTGTATTTCTACTTTTGGAAATACAAACTTTACATAATTTCGCATGGAACAGTTTATTTGATAGTGATTTTATCACTTTCAGTTGTAATAAGATTATCAGAATTAACTGACATTAAACGTTTTGAATTTTCCACTAGGTGTATTAGTAGTTAAAAGTTTTAATTATTTTATGACGTTTACAATATCATCATCATCATGTAGCCGGAGCGCATCCTTTCATCGGACGATTGCTCTCCTGGCAAACGGAGCACCCGTGACCGAGTGTCGAACCGGTG